GCTCCGACTTTCCCACACGTCGGATCGCAAGCCTCCATGATGGCGGCCCCTGCAGCCGTTTCCGTCAAGCCGTAGCCCTGGACGACGGCGCAGTCGAGAGCGTTCCGTACGAAATCGTGGGTGTCTCCGGACAGCGGGGCCGAGCCCGTCGCGATGACTCGCATTCGCCCTCCGAGCAGAGCGGACACCTTGTTGAACACGAGACGATCCACGATCGGGGTGCGATAGCCCATTCTGACCCAGAAGTTTTTATAGGCGACCACGTGACGGAAGAACATTTTCGAAAAAGGTCCCTTCGAATCGGCCACTTCCGTGATGGCCTTACGGACGCGGTCGAGGACCAGAGGTACCGAGACCATGATCGTGGGCTTCAGAAGTGCGGCGTCTCCCTTCTGGCCGCTCTTGATTCCTGTCGACTTGTCGGTCAGAGTCAACGGGGACGAATAGCCGATCTTGCAGCCGAGAGCCAGGGACAGGTGCTCAGCGGCGAGTTCCAACACGTGAGCTAACGGGAGGTAGGCGATGTAGGCGTCGTTATCGTCGATCACCTCAGGGACGATGGTCGCGAAGCCTCGCGCTGTCGCGACGATGTTCGACTGTGAAATCATAACGCCTTTCGGCATACCGGTGGATCCGCTCGTGTACATGATGATGGCCGTGTCTTCGGGGCCGGGGGTTTCCCCGCGAAGCTCTCTGTCGGCGGTGGCTCCAATGGTTTCGAGTTGAGAGAACGGGAGAAGATTAATGCCTTGCGGGTCGGCGGGTTTCGTTTTCATCAGAGGGTTCTCCATGTAGATGACATGCGTAAGCGAAGACATCTGAGGTAGGATTTTCACAACTTTCGGCAGAAGATCCAGCGACGTGATCATGTGAGTGCTTTCCGTCTCGTTGACGCCGTGGATAATGCCGTCTTCTCCAAGGGTGGCGTAGAGAGTCACCACAGGAATGTTCAAGCGGAGACAAGCCTGCATTCGGATAGAATATGGTCATTAGTCATTAGCCGTCAGAATAGGCCGATATCGACTCCGTGGGGATTGGGGGAAATCATGATGATTGGTAATGGCGAATACGAAAGAGTTCCGGCCTGGAGCTGGAAGAGAAGAATTACCTGAGCGGCCAACATCCACTCCATTCGAGTTTCAGCGAAGATAACAACATTCTGGCGGGGTCTCACTCCGAGTGACATGAGCCCTTTGCCGATGAGGTCGAGTTTCTGATCCATTTCACGATAAGTGATCCATTTATAATCGCCCAGAATCAACTTCTTGAACGACTTTCCATCAGCCTGCTCCTCCATCTCTTCGCCGAAAATCTGAAAACAGCAGGGTTGTCAGGAAAACGTTTCTCGTTCCCCCCTCCCCTCTATCCGCTCATTCGGAGTCCGGAGCTTCAAGCTCGGCATCGGCTAGGGCTCCTTCAGAACTGGAAACATCCGGCAGAACTTACTTCTCGGGCTCCGAAGCATGGCTTGTCGGGATAAACTTCGATGGCGTGCCTTGTGATTTTGTCGACAGTGCGCGCTCCATTGAAAATATCCTCGTTGCGAACGACTTTGCGCACGTAAGCACTTCCCGTTGGACCCTCGACTTTCTTCGAGTAGACGAGATACCTGGAACACGCATGAACGCTTGCTGAGAGTATTCCCTACGGCTAGAAAATCGCTTCCTGCAGGCACTCGACCACGTGACCCAGAAGACGGGAAAAAAATGAGGAAAATTCGAGCCTTGGACGAATGATCGATGGGCGCATCCGAACGTGACAATCGGAGAGGATCCACGGTCGGTGATTCCTGAGATCGCCGCGGATATTCTCCCACTTCGGAAAAACAACCTTGGAGTCGGTGTGCTCGACGTATGTCAATGCGACAGCTGACGGCAAAGCACATCCCGCACAGGGGCTTGGAGAGCCGCCTGAACAGATGTCGTCACATCACACAAATCCTTATAATTCAAATTTTTACAAGCTCTCAAATCGTGTTTCGCGTACAGGTGGCTCCCGAAGGTGTACATGGAGTGCGAAAAGAGAGAACACGACGCTCTTTTCCTCCCGACACGACAGCTTCGCGAAAAATTTCGAAAAGACAACTCACCGATTGT